TTTAAACAAATCAACTTTTACAAATCAATGAAACAAGTAAAAAATAATTCTTATTTACACATCAATTAAAAAATCAAATTTTACAAATCAACAAGCAAAAAATAATTCTTATTTCCTCAACAAATCAACTTTTACAAAGAGAACAAATCAATGTAAAATTCAATTAAACAAGGAAAAAAAGTGTACCCCTAGACAATTGTTTATGCACAAATACATCAATTTCACGCAGCTCACGTCAGGAATAACCTGCAGAAACCAAAAATTTGCTCAAACAACACTTTCTACACATCTAAAACCAACAAACAATAAATTATTGAATTCTAGGTACTTAACCAAACATTTTCAAACCAACAAAGAGTATATATGTTAACAACACTTGCTCAAAATTACCAATTGTTTATGCAAACTTTCAGCACGCGGATGCAGGTAGACAACCTCTCGCATATATCGCTCGAGCCATAAAATGCCGAAACCATAAGTCTACTGCACCTCTATCTCTATCTGTGGGAGGTAGAAGGTGTTTACTTCCTGTCGTCAAACGCTCCAAGCACATGCATACAAGAGGACCACAATCCCCTCTGGCTCCCTTCATTTGTTGTGGTGCGGTATCGTCTCTGATCATTGTAACTTTGAACTTTTTTGGCTTTTTGTTTCCAGAATTAGTCCAATAATCAATCGCGTCCAATTATTTCGCCAAATGAGCGCTCCATCCCTTACAAATAATATCTCTCAAATCAGACAATGATATGTAATTCAACATGCTGTCATATACCATTGTTTTCAAGGATGGGAGCTGAAGTTCGACGAGAAGCCAATGGCGACGTTCCAAAAAAGGGATAAACACCTGCAATCATAAATAATTGCACACATCAAATAAAATTTATGAAAACATTTAAAATATTCAAAAAATAAATACTAACCTTATCGACCTCCCACCACGTAGGATAAAGTTTATCTTTTCCATTACCCAACGTATATGAAGCATCTCTTGGATCCTTCAAGTGAGCTACGTGAAAAGACGTCGGCATAATAGTCCATCGAGTATTTCTTATTTTTCTCAATTTCCTTATTATTAGAAGACGTGACACCCATGCATCAATATTTTGTTTTATAAAAAAAATACATATATTAGTGAATTTATTAATAATTTAAAAAAATTAATCAAAATGCAATATAAGAAGAATATAAGACTTACCACCCCTTCGAGATAGCTATTATCTTCAACCCCTAATAAAATACCCCACCAAGACCGATTAAGAAACAAATGCATAACATCGTCGAGTTTGCATAGGTCAGAATAACACCCCTTGCTCCGCTCATGTAGATAAAAATCAACTGCGGTCTTAGCCCAAAGGGTATTTATCCGTAATTGTGTCCGGTAGTGTTCCCCTCTCCTGCTGAGGAATGGTATTGGCCGGTAACACATACGAAAGCCAACTCGTATCCATCATATCTGGCATGAGAGGGGGTTTATCAACATGTCGACATATGACGCCATGTGAATCGGGCTCTTGAACGGCGGGTGGGACCTCTTGAACGGTGGGAGGGGCCTCTTCGATGATGAGAGGGGCCTCTTGAACGATAGGAGGCGCCTCTTGAACGATGATAGGTGCATCGGGCTTCTTCTTATGGAGTCTTGGCACTAGTGGGGTGAACGGAGACGTAATGGCATGTGCACGACGTCTGATGCGTGAACCCCGTCGTGCAAGAAAAACCCGACGTAAAACATCTAACTTATCGGGCCGCTAAAAATAAATTAATACATAAATCAGTAAATAAATAAATAAATAATGCCGAAAAATGTTATTTGCATTTTTAGTATAGTATTAAACAAATTTATCTCATTGCGTAGAGTATGAACCTCATTCTACAACGATGAAACAATCTCGCATAGAGCGGCAACCTCATCACGTAAAGTATACACCTCACCACGTAGCGCACCATTGTCATCGCATAAAAAATCCACCTCACCACGTAAAGACCGAACCTCATCACACCATACACCATTGTCTTCACGTAAAGTACCGACCTCATGACGCAAAGCACCGACCTCATCACGTAACTCCTAACTCATCCCGTGAGAACAGAGAGATAAATGTCGTGATCTCTTTGTCGGTCGCCTATCATAAGTGATGGTGGAGAAGAGGCTCGATGATGTGATGGTGGAGGTGGAGAAGAGGCTCGGTCAGGTGATGGCTCCGGGTGTCGAGCTATAGAATCGGCCCGATCATGTGATGGCTCTCGAAGTGGGGGGTGCTCATCATCCGTCCCATCAAAAAACCGCTTATTAGCTTGCCACCAATCAGTGGCAAGCTCAGCCTCTGTAATGGATAGTTGGCCTCCTAACAATATAAAAGCTCAAATAAAGTTAAACGTGTACTAGTAATAACTTGTTTATATATGGTATTATTTGTGTGTTAACTTACATCATTCATCGTCGTATATGGGAGTAACTATTCCCAATCCAACATGTTGATCCTCTTCCAGGTAATAGCCCTAGGAATATCATTTGATTTTTTTATCGCATATGTCCGCATACTGGGGAAAACCTCAAATATCCAAATCTACAAACATTAGTAATTGTTAAACAATCAAGTATAATTTTGGAAATATTATATAGAAATTCTTACCTTAAAGGCCTAAGTAAAGCCTGTCAAAGTGTATTTAGAACCATCGCCCCGTAAACTTTTTCGGTCCTCAAGGCAGACGACAACTTCTTCTAGGTAGCTTTCCATAGATATGAACCCCAAGAAACAGGTTCCATGCATTTAGGTCCTCTACCAATAATATTAAGTCCTCAGAGATAGGTTGTTTGGCCTCTTTGCCTAAAAAGCCGGTATGCAAAGTAATAAATGGCATACTCGGACAACATCAAGGTTATCCATCCGAGTAAAACCATCTTTAACAAATAATCTCTTCAAGTCGTTGATGTGTAAACTCGGCTTCGACTTTGCCAGCTCAGGAAAAACCCGAGATAACCATGATGGGCGGAGATATGACTAGTGTACCGGGTCACATCATCGTGTCTAAAGCGTAGACCAGTGATTAAGCAAACTCCCGCCCAAAACAAGTATACGCCGGAGGAAAATGAAACCATATCTCTTCATCACCATGTTGTATCCTCTCGGGTAAATCGTTAGTCATGGTCTGAAGAAACAAATGTGTCAACATAGCATCTCCACCCGGATGTTGTACTTTCAACTATGACCCAAAGCAGTATCCTCAAACAATTTTCTTTGTAGAGGTGTAAGCGTCGACACAATTTTAGTGGCTATGCTTAATTTATTCCTTAAGGTCAATGCAGCCGAAAAAAATATCTACAAAAATAATAAACATACAAAGTTAGATATACCAAAAACTACAAATTATACACTATAAACAGACATGATATTAAACAGTGAAAACAAAGCCAAATATATTTCAAACTAGCACGGTATTCACCCAAGTCATTATTCCATCATAGTTCACAAAACATTAGATAACATTCCAGAAGTAAGCACTTATATAAACATTTAAAAGGACAACATATATGTTTAGTGCATGTTCAAAGACAACATAAAGAGTAGTAGTTTATTCTTGAAACTTAAATTCGCAACACTGTGAAGTTAGTATTTTTCTTTGTTTTTTGGTTGAAGTAATGCAATTCATTCAAGTTTCAATTTGCAGAATAAGAGTAGTTTCTGAAACTTAAATTCGCGCGAAAATGAAAATCGCAACGTGAAAATAAAAATCGCAACGCGAAAATTAAAATTGTATCGCGAAAATTAAAATCGCAACGCGAAACTAGAAAATCGCAACACGAAACTAAAATATCGTTGCGATTTTCATTTTCACGTTGCGATTTTCATATTCGTGCTGCAATTTTCATTTTCGTGTTGCGAATTTATGTTTCAAAAACTATTCTTCTGCAAATTGAAACTTAAATGAATTGCATTTCTTCAACAAAAAGACAAAACAAAGACAAATACTAACTTCACAGACAGCAACCGAATGAATTTACTAAGCAATCTAAGTGAAATGGTTATATATTATATATTGAAATTACCAGTAAATTTATCATCAATATCAAAAAAATCTAATAATAATACAACAATTTCAAAATAAAAATAAGAGATTAAACTAACCCTCGGTGGTTGATTTTCCATTTATGACCGTGAATGGTTGTGAGGGTTGCTATGAGAGATGGAGATAGATGGATTTTGTCAGAGATGGGGACAGATTTCGTCGGAGATGGGGACGGATGTCACCGTAGAGAGTGAGAGATGGAGATGAGACTGAGTTGTGATTTATGGTTTTAGGTTATGATTTGCGATAATACTGTTTATTTGTGTTTCTCAATTAATATTGTGTTTCGAATTCGAAAATAAAATTCGCGTTGCGAAAATAAACGCGCTTTGCGAATTTGACTTATGTGTTGCGAATTTGACTTTTGTGTTGCAAATTTGACTTCTGTGTTGCGATTTATAAATTCGCGTTGCGATTTATATTCGCGTTGCTAATTCGGAAATTGGGTTGCGAAATACTAGTTCGCGTTGCGAATTTGAGATCGCGTTATGAATTTGTTTGTCATTTTCACAAATCCAAATTTTAAAATCGTATATTATAAGGCATTTTCGATCACTGAGGTTATTTTCTCTTTAATATATCAATTACTATAATTTGATATTTTAATACAAAACTATATCTAACCGTATCTAGACTCGGGGGCTGTTTGTTTTCCTTTTAATAGAACCATTCAGCGCTGAATGCTGAATCGTTTAACATTCAACGTGTTTGTTTCGTACCTCTAAATGATTCAGTGCTGACTGATTCAACAAAATAGTGCTGAATGATTCAGCACAGAATACATTCTGAATGATTCAATGGCATTATCAAACAACATGTCACATTCAGAGCTAATTCATACAAAGCCTCTGAATCATTCAACATTTGAATTATTCAGCGCTTAATCATTCTGAAGTAAACAAATAACCCCTCAGAGTCCACAACGAAAGTTTCATCATGTTGAACGACAATATGCCTATTATGCCATGTTTTTTTCCCCTTTCAGAATCTGAATTATTTATAGTCCCAATTATACTTGGGCGCGTTTGAACTTACAGTCTCCATGAGGTGAGATTACTGTAAGTTAAAATCAAAAGTTAAGAGTCCCTGCAACAGGTTTCACCATAACTTTGCCAAATGATGCAGTTTGAAGCCTTAAGAACTTAGGGCTGGGGGGATGTTAATAATTTAATTCAGGTAAAAGAGTCCAGAGATATATGTAGTTCAGAGTTAAGATGTCATCATTGTTAAGCAAACTCCTGTAAATAAAGGCCTGAAGATTAGAGTAGAATGGTTCCTGCTATGGACGCCTCAGTTGTTGAAAGCCATTCTTTGCTTGTGAACTTGAGAAGGTAGTTTAACCTCAGTTGCCAGCCCAATAACTTGAAGGAATTTGATTACATACCATGTCATATCCAACTGCCACCATTCCAGACCGTGTCGGGCCGAGTATTCGAAAGCATGGTGGTTGTTGTGCCAACCTTCTCCAAACGCAAGCAATGCCACCCACCTGAAAAAAAATACTTGCTCATTCTTCATTACTAACTTATTAAAAAGATTCAACTCACAAGGTATATACATATTATATTGACTGAGGGAAGTCAATAGTACCAATTGTTCTTGGATAGATCACCAGTATTCCATGCTTGCTTCCCCCACACATGGGAAGCTGAATTTACAAGCCAAGTGATGTGGTATACCCATATAATCCTCACACCCTGCAATGATCTCATGTCAATACATACATACATACATGCATGCATGCACAGAATGATAAAAACATGGAAGAACTAGCTTACCATTCCCCAAACCAGGAATGGGAACCCACCAAGGGCATATAGCAGAACTCCAAATGCAATGGGATGGAGAAGATAAGTAGTTTGAAGGAACCTGTAGAAGGGTTGCTTCTCCAAATCCCCAACATTGCTTGATTCTCCACGCTGCAAATGTTCCGTTGATATAATGAAAAAATCAATCCCCATTCCCAATATATGTGAGAAGAGAGAGATAGAGATACCTTTTCAGCAACAGTATTTGTATCAAAGAGCCAGTTCATGTGGCTATACCAAAACCCTTCAATGGGGCTATGAGGATCTCTTTCAGAATCACAAAACTGGTGGTGGTACCTGTGGGTGCTTACCCAATCAATTGGGTTCCCCTGCAACACCCAAACCAACAATCAAACGAGAGTGCCATTTCGCATGAAAGTAATTTTCTCAAGAAATTGAAAACAACAGACCTGAAGTGCTTGAACTCCACAATAAGCAAACAAGTACTCAAGCCATTTTGGAAGCTTGAAGCTTCTATGAGAAAGATTCCTATGGAAAGACAATGTAATCCCCAATCCTGATACCAGATAGAGTCCCGCAGCAACCCAAAAGGCAGGCCAAGTGAAATAAAAAGGTGCACAAAGGCCGAGCAAATGCATGGCTAAGACAATACCAGCAGAGGCTATATCCAAAGCGTTCCAATTTGTCCTCCAAAACACCTCCCTCCTATTTTGCACCACCACATCAGATAACAAAATTCTATCCTGGGGTTTCACTTCTTGTTCTGCTTCTTTTGCCACAACTGACACCCCATTAGCCAAAGCCGAGACTTCCCGACGTAGCTGAGTTACAAATCTTGAATGCAAAGGACTCTGCTTTTCCTGTGCTTGATTAAATCCCGAGTTGAGGACTTTGAAAGAGAAAGGTCTAGTCCTCGTCGTCTTTGTTACTCTTTGAAGAGGTGAAAAAGGTAAGGAGCTAGGCTTAGAAAACGCTGATGTGATTAAAGCCATTGTGGTCACGATTGGTGGGTTCAAAAGAAAAACCAGGTTTTATAACAGCCATGGTCGGTTTGTTCTTTAAGCCAAAACTTGAAGATTTTGAGTTACTGTCAGAATTATACTCGTGTTTATTGCGGTGGAAAGAAAGTGTGGATTATAGAAAAAGAAAGTAGGCATAGGAAAACGACAGAGCGAGATGAGCTGATAAGGTGATCTTTCATTTAGATGTGGTGAAATAACATCCATAAACTTTGTGGTTAGAATATTTTCTCTTAGCCCTTAATAATCTACTTGCCATGGTTCTTTATCTTCTCTCCCTGTCCAAGCAAATATCTCTTTCTGTAGCAGCAAAAATGCGTGGAAGAAATAGTAGCAAGTGCGTCATACTTTACGTCTTCAACTCAGCGTTTTTCCGCCACACAATCGGTGAGAGCTACAGCTGAAAATCCATGTTACTATTGTGTGTTTTATATTGGCATTTGGAACAATCAACTTGAGCTACTGAGATCCTTGAGTTCATCCTTTATAATGACTGGATATTGTTAATCCTAAGTGATGATACATATTGAAAAGGAAGATCATTTTCCCCTCATTATCCGAATATTAATTCACACTAACATCAAATAGGATTTCTTAAAATGTAAATTCTTTTTAAACCAAATATTGTTAATTTACCCATTTGTTGTTTCTTTTAATCGCGCACACTGCTGCTGGGATATTTTGTACTTTTGCCAACGTAGATGATAGCTTTATGGGTACTTGATTGTCGGGAAATTTTCCTAGAAAGGAAAGATTAATGAAGATTATCGGGAAAGTCGCTGCAACCGTAACTACAACCCCTATACAAGAAATAAAGGAGTGTGAGTTTCAGCTTCCTTCTATTCTTTGACCTGTTTCATTCATGTCCGAGTGTTTCAGGCTTTGGAGTTTGTCTTTGAAAGGAACTTTTGAGTTTGATTTTTTACATTTGACAGGAATAAGAACTTTCTTCAAATTTGACAATTCATGAATTGCAAGAGAACTTTCTTCAAATCCAGCAACAATATGCTTAAAACAAGGTGTAACCCCTTGCCAAAACCATGCGAATATGCTTAAACTCGACTCACGGTGGCAGGGTCTTGCAGAGGAGCTGAGTCAAGATGGTGCATGCGACAGAGCAATCTTCATGTTGTTATTGATAGATATGCAATGATCGGCAACTTGTCCAGAGAGTAAGTAAAACCTTTTATCTTCTCTCTTACGTCCTCGTTTTCATTTTCTTTGTCAAAGTTTTGGCATTTTTTTTTTATGTTTGAAGTTGAACTCTACAACTGCAACACTCTTGCAGGGTGATTGACTCTGGTTCTGGGATGCATGGATCCGAACTCACATTTATACAACTCGATGACGGGTCGTGCCCAATTGACTCAGATGTTAAGGACTAAAGTTAGCCAGCAACATCTCATACATCTGGTATCAGATGCTACGTTCATTTAGCAGTGTCCTATAGTATTTGATGAATCAATCATCTTCCTAGTAGCAATCAGTTGTGTACCATAGAATGTAGCATTATTAAAATTAACATGGTACGAAACAATTAACTAAATACAGATTATATTAAGTTCGGTTTGTAGGAAGTATTTATTATGTAGTGGAAGCACAGGCAGACAATAGAACAAGATTCAAAGATGTTAGATACACAGTCAGACTCTCTCAAGAGAGGGGAGCATTTGAAGATTACATGATGTCAATCTTTGACAACAATGAAACCCTGACGGCCCCCACTATATCGGTGAGGGAAACAAGCCCCGCAAGTAAACCTTGTTGATCAACCACCCACACTCGGTGCACGTGGTTATATACTATCTTCTCGATTGCTTCTGAGAGTGCCGAGTCTGGTTGGCAACTCACGATTTCCTTTGGCGCCGACACCCTCTCCCTCGCTGCGAACAAAGGGCTACTCGAGACTAGCTCAGTGAATTCTAGTGCGCTAAGAGGCAACCATGTCTGCAGTGCAGAAAAATGGCAACCCCTCAAGTCAGTCGCTGAAAATGTTCCAATTGGCTTCCTCCCTTTGCCCTGATACATGTATATAAATATGAAAACTTCAACATGAACAAGAAAAATGGGTTGGTTTTAGCTATCCTTTGAAAATATTGAAGAAAAGAGAGGGACTTACATCTACAAGCTGTTTGTCATCTTCTTTAATAAGATTAGAGGATTCAACTATAGGAACAGCATGGAGCATAGCAGTCTTCAAGCATTTGATGGCATCGATCACTTTGGTACGATCGGTTATGGAAAAAACACTCTGATTTAAGCAACCTATTTCCTTTATGCTGCTTGACAAGATCTCTCCCAATTCAGAGGCATGGTCGTTGAGGAATTTCAGTAAGTCCATTTGTGTAAGCATTTTATAGCTTGAAGCAGACTCCACAAGTTCAACTCCTTGAACATTCTCCATTTGACTGTCCATTGGGACCAAGGCCCTGTGGATTCCCTTGCTAAACAGTTCCATGCAATCCAAAATGCTGCTCAATAACACATATTAATTGGGTTAACAGAAGACAAACCCATAAATTGAATGAACAATAAAATGAATGCAAAATAGTACCTTGTGTTTGGGTTTAGAGTCCATAAGCTAAGTCCTTCGAAGCTGCGTCCTATAATCAACGATATCGGGACCGTCATCTTCCTCTCAAGATTTGCATCTCCTCCAACATCACTGCCCATCATCTGATTATCATCATCAGCAATGTATGCCAGAATATCGAGCATGGTAACCATCCCTATGTAGTGCTTCCGCACGACCCCCGTTTGTTTATCAGACTCCATGATCATTGAGCCACCAGCCCCAATCCACTGCCCTGGAGGTGCAGCAACCGGAAGCGCCGTCACCTTGTTGGCGACCAATGCGTTCATGGTGTCGCCTAGCGTGGCCGTGTAAGGTACCTCCGCGAGTCTCCCCTTGTTCACCAGTACATTTTTCACCGTCTTCTCCAGTAACCGGAGAATGGATTTAGCGGCAGTGTTTTCTTGATCATCCTTCGGTTCCTGCATTTTTGTTTGTGTAAATGTTCTGGTAACTGCTCTGCCTCAGCTTTGTCACTTATAATGGAACGAATTCCCTCTCGCGGTCTCGAAGAAAATTATTTTACATGCTTACTCGTTGCAGGCATATATGCATGCACGTGTCAAACTGGGATATTGCGTGGCTGAAGTATGATGCCATTTGGCACAAGCTTGAAGAGGAAAATCCCCTTGAGTAACACGTGGCATATCCCATTCATATAATCTTGCCACTTGGCATTTCTTGGACCAACTTAGAAGCAATAAACTCCACGTTGGACAAATTTGCTGGGCTCATCGCCGCCTATCTATTAATCCATCTTAGAGCCATAGAAGGAAATTGAGAACAGAAACCAATAATCTCCTCTTGAATTAAGTGGTAACAGCTTCATTTCTTGAAACATGTTATATAATATTATTATTTGACATATTGGTGGTAAACTTTTTTTATAAATGATTTTAATTTATTATATATTTTTATTAATATTTAAGTGAACAATCAATACATAATGCAGGGGATTGAAGTCGTTTGTATAAAAAAATATTCATTGTCAACGTATTAAATAATTATTTTAATAATCATTTTATAATATATTAATTTTTATATATGACATAATTATCATAAAATAAGAAATGATTTAGCAGAAATAAATAGAAGGGAATACAAAAATCACTTACAAATTGCTTCATTTGTATCTAGTTATAAGTTATGTTATATATGATTTCTAAGTCACTTTTCATTTATCATATGAATTTGAATAAAGAGACGTTGCTTTATATTAATTGACGATGGTTTCTCTTTTTTAATTTGAATAGAGAACTGATAGTAATGGTTTAATTCTTTATATAAGTGTTTTACGGAAAAGAAGAAAGAAGAAAAAATGATTTTAAAAAAACTCTTTTTGTTTGAGAAAAAAGAGAGGAAGAAATTACCCTTAATTTTATTCTTAAAATTATAAAATTTACAATCAGACAGAGAAAATAAAGATGAATAAACAACAACCCATTACTAGACAACCATTCACTTCAAGCAAAACACTTAAAAGGCTAATACCATATTGGAAAATGCAAATATTTTTCATATTCTGGCTATTCCCTTGGAAAAGTCTATGCTGGGTTAAATGCATGAGAAGGGAACTACTATTAGCCTGATGGATGCATTTTCAATATGAAAATTCAACCAATTGCCTGATCTATAAACAATATCTTGATCTTACAAGATCAGAAATCAACCTATGGAGCAAGTGTGAGGTACATTCAACCATTTATTTATCATACACAGATGCCAACACCTCTCGAACCTCTCGACCTCAGGATAACTCAGTAAGCTATGAGACCTACGCGCTAGCCAACTGCGCTACCACCCCGTTAGTTTAAGCTTCTGGAATTGTATTATTTATTACTATAACATACATTTTATGATAACCGAGAAGATACCTTTTTGCACCTTTTCAATTTACATTCATCTTGTTGGGCACTGAGTAATGAGTAGTCGGCTAGTCCGAAGGAACAGAAAACTGAGAAATTAATCTGCTACGGTACAACTACAAATGAGATAGTTTTGGTACCAACAAAGAAAGGGAAATTGAAAGAGTTGGTTGCTCCTGGTTGCATGGCGTGCATGAATCATTATTCTTGTGTTTGTTTAATATTTCATAGATATTTATTATTGATTTTGATTATGTTTTAATAATAATAAAAAATTAACCGTAAAGATACATTATACAACATAATATTTTTACAGTTGATGCCGTATATATAGTTGAAATTAATTAACTTATATATTATTTTGGTCATCTCGAAGCGATAACTTCAACACTTATCACCTTTAATAAGCAAATATATTGAGAGAAAATGACGAGGCTAAACCATTAGAACCAGTGGTTGATCTAAAAATTAAAAAATGAGAGTTCAACAATTTAATATTCTCTTTTCTGAAATAATGGGTATGCAATTTTCTTTATTTTTTTTTCATTCTCCTTAACACGTTAAACTAGATTTAGTAATTTTCTCAAAATAATAGGTATGCAATAGCTCTCCTTAGGAGCTACATATATCCGCCCTTGATTAGGACACAATGTACCTACATAGGTGACAACTGTCGTTTTCGATATCAAAATAAATTCCTCATTCTCGATTGATAAATGAAGAAAATGCGTAGTACAGAGAAGTAAG